TTCCTAGCACAGAGCTGGAAAGCCAAGCTAATATTCTTCAGCGTGCTGGCAACTAAGCTGCTGACTTTGGTTGAAAAACGTGTCTGTCGGCATACCTGGCAGATCGCAGCTCTGATCGCAGGCGCTCGACCCCACGAGCCAGAGGGCTGGTTCAGACGCATGCCCCACTTTCCTATGCCCCATAACGTAGGCTATCATCTGCTAGGGGCAATAAATCTGTCCATCAGCTCAGTGTCCTGGATTTGCGCACACAGTAACGCATAGCTGGGAGGATGCACTGGCTCGTGCCACGGGATATGACATCCCTCCTTAAGTCATCTGCAGTAACTGCTCTGTTCCTGGCAGGAGGTGGCTGCACTGCAGATAAGCTCTCGAGTCACAGCACATATGACGCGCTGTTAAATACTTCCCTTAACCCACGCTCGTAGACCGCTTGCCAAAGGTTCTCTATCCACAGTCTCAAATGTGCTAAATTTCTGTAGGGAATACAGTGTCAGGGAAAAAACAGGGATTCTAGAACAATGAGAAAGCAATTTACTGAAATATACTGCAAATTAACTTCCTCTGACCCTCTAGGCCTGAGTGGTTGCTGGGGGGGCTTGAGGGCAGGGGGGAAAAAGAGGTTGGTAGAGCAGAAAGTTATTAGGTCCACACTTCATACTGTGTTTGACACTTCAAAGAGCGCTGTACAGTTGCCAAATAATGTAACCTTGCAACCCTTCAGATTATAAGAGTCTGGTTTCAGGAGAGCGATACAGAAACTGAGAGACCCAAATATATTACTTTATATGTGGGTCACAGCGATGGCAGTCAATTAAAATCAAATGCCCCAGGTGATATTTGTAATACAGATATCCCGCAGCAGCTGACAGCCACAAATCCTGCTTCCCGGCATTTTGCTCCATGGCATAAGAGACAGCACTTTGTGCTCTTGATTATATTGGAATCAATCTGGAGCAGCTCTACTGCAGTTAGTGCAAATTGCCTCAGATTTGCACTACCGAGATTTGGCCCAAATTTACAGTAGCTTACTCTCAACATGTTCCCTAACTGAATAACAAGACAAAACACTGTCTGAATTAGACGTAAGGCATTTGAAAGACTGACTGTGGTTTAAATTTAAATCTGACTCATAATGGGTAATATGTTCCATAGTATCTTCTTTTTTATACCTCCAAGTGAAGAAAAGAATCAGTCCTGCCTGAACACTGCAGGAACAGCTGGACGGACCAGGATCTCCTGATGCAGACGGAGCAAAGTCCTACTCTCGCTTTCCTCAAATTCTTAACAGTAACGTGATGTCCCCCTTGGGCTTTAACCTGGTGCTGCACATTTAATCTGGCTCAGCTCTCTCTTCTTCTGATATTTCGTGTAGTGCATTCCATTGCTCCGCAGCCTATCAGGTACCCACACATGCAGCAGCCTCAGGTAACGACAACATTAAAATCCAGCGCTTCAGCTGCATTTTTCATGATGCTTTATGATGTGTTACCAAAACATGGCACTGTTTCCATAGGAAGCAATTATTACTTGTTATTGTTTGACAATCTGTACATAATAAAACTACCTTAAAAACAATACCACAACACTCGCTGAGCAACTGGTTTTCACTTGTCCAGCTTTGTGGCCATGCCTATTCATTTTTTGGAATGCTTATTCATAAAAGACAATTTTTCCTGAAAGGTTCGGGCACTTTATTCATAAATACAGAAGCACCTTAATAAAAGAAAGATGTGATGAAGTCTTCAAAGCAAGCAAGAAAAATGATGAACAAAGACATTCTCATAACAACTGAGCTTTATCTGATCAAATTTCAATAAAGCCTGCATTTGGCATAAATCTTTAAAAACATAGCAAGGGCCACTGGAGGATGCTAAAACTTGTTTATTTAATATTATTCCTCCTCCCTTCCCCCAAAGTACTTTATCCTCTTAATATTTTCTGAAGACTTGGTGTACATTAAAAAGCGCATCAACTGAACACACTTGAATGGAAGGATGGGAAGAGGAGCACAGAAGAGCTCTGCATCTGAGCCTCTGCTGCCTCACTTCCTTCCAGCTCCCCACTCTCCAAAGTGCTGATGTCCAGTAACTGTGAGGAACATATCAACCCTCGCTTTCGAGGAAAAGGAACACCAGAAAGGATATTTAGTGCCCTTAATAAATGCGGTTCTCTGAGCCTTCACTTACGATAGTCAAGAAAAGAAAGCAGCTTTTGTATCTATCTTATGAAAGAAACAATTTCTACTTCTCTGAGTTTTCTTTTATTATACTCTATCATAAGAATGCTTAATATGCACACTGGGCTTCCCATCTGTACAGGAACACACAGATGTTGGCAGACTAATCCTTAAATACCAAGGATAGCATTCTTGGTGAAAACAGACATTAAAGGAAACCGTTTCCATGCTCAGGGATTACAAGTCACCCAGTGGCTTCCGTGGACAATTCGAGACATGACACTGGAGTGCAGCATGTTGTACAATGCTGTCAAGGACCCTGTTTGACACCACAGAGAGCTAACAGCAGACACAGGTGGGAACTGGGTCCTGCTCTTCCTGTTCCAGGGCCCCAATAGAATGGTCCAAATTGCCTTACTGGAGTCTGTGCAAACAAGGCTGTAGGAAAACACAAAGTTCATTTCTGATGTGGTTTGGAAAAAAGACATAGGTGTTAGCCCTGGGAAAGCTTATACAACAAGGTGCAGTCTTTATTTATTTATTTATTCCAGCAATTCAAGTGCTAGGTCTGTAAGGTCAGAGGACCACACACACACACACAAAAAAAAAAAAGAATTAGAAGGAGAAATATGTGTATTCTGTTTGCTTTCCTCTCTAGCCATTCCTAAAATAGCACTTGGGCGCTCTATTGTCTTTTTGGTACCACTGGTGCATAGCACTATTAATTTGTCACTGGAATCAGAATCAGAGAGCTCCAGGGGAGCAATTAACAAGATTTGCATGTGTCCAGGAAGGGCTGCTTTCCCAAGGAACCAAGTCAGGTGAGATCCTACTCTCCCTATACGACTTCTGCATCTCTTTCGGCTTGACAGAGAAAGAGGAGGGGACTCCAGAACAATCATTCCCTGAAACGGGTATGAGAAGAATTTGAAAAACCCTCATCAAGTAGATCTTGAACAAAACAAAACAGTTAGCAATCCTGAACTTGGTTGGAGAGTAAAAAAAAAAAGTAATTAAGTGTTGATTATACAAGAAGAAAACATTTACTCCTTCTGGACATAGCACTGCCAAACCCAGCCAGCACATCTCACCAGAGGACAGAAATCAGCATTTATGCATTGAGGAGGAACATCAGGCACACATGCCAACTCTGCTGGCCATCTCCTCTGTGAGGCTCTGTCCAGGCATGGCTTTTAATATTGGAAGCACAGAAGTTTGAGAAATTCTTCAAACTCTAGAAAATCTATTTGCCTCTCCCACTTCTATTGATATGAGCACCTTCTTCATTTTCCTCTTTTACTATTTACGTATCTGTGCTTTTTTACAGCACTAGATACTTCTATCACTGCCTTGTTTTGAAGTTCCTCCTGCATCAAAGGCAGCAATGCTTTTGACCCACCCTTCTCCACCTTGAGCTGCCTTAGGTTCTGTCTGCCTTCTGAAATCACATACTGATTTCTACACACTTCCCTTCAACTTCTCCCTGCTTTTGCTTCTCTGTGAAACGCTCACTGCATGCTAACCTCAAGTGCTGAGATGGAAATCACACTTAGCAGTATTTATGGACAGTGATTCTCCTACAGCACGAACTGCTGGTAAGGAATCCATGCAATTCACATCAGCCATCACTGAGATAAATGAAAATGTAGATACAAGCTTTTGTAGAGAGCTGCATACAAGAAGTGGTAAACATGACTGAAGGAAAAGTTAAAAAGGGATAGCAGAAAGATGAAGGCCACAGAGTATCTGGAGCTTATAAGGAGTAAAGCAGAAAAAAAGCACTAGCAGGCAGCTCTATCATTTTGATAGGTGCTCTGCAGGAGAAAAGTTCCAGAGACAGCCTGCTCCTCCACGGACAGAGCAGCAAAATTAACATGCCTAACATTTGCTGGCTACCTTGGGCTCGCCTTGTCTAGCTAGGAAAACCTCTACTAAAGCTTGTTAACATACAGAGACTGTTCTGGGTGGTTGTGATGGTTCGTATACAGGACAGAATTTTGCTTTTTTTGATTATAACACCATCTAACCAAGTTTATAAATCATCTGATGTCGATGGCTGAAGTGCTCAATGCAGTTTTAAAACAAAAAGAATACAGATAAGCCTTATCGACCTTCATAAGCAGAGCAGCCATCCAGTCACTTTGTTTCTCCCTCCTCAGTTCCAGAATTTCCTGTTCTCTCACTTCAATCCCTGGGCCAGCATAGAGAAATGAATCAGACCCAAATTACTATGCTTTGAAACTCTATTAACAAAGTCATTTCTGTCTGGAACAGTTAATAGACTTATCCTGAGCACAGGCCACACAAAACAAATTTAATTTCTCCTATGCAAACTATATCATAGGTCAGATGCTGGAAGACAGAGATACTTTAGCACTACTGCTTGATATATCATTCTGTCATTTACTTAAGGAAAGTCATCAAGAGTTAACTTTAGCAATCCTCTTCTGTCAGGATATGCTGAAGCTCAGAGTCCTGGGGCATACTTTCTAGAAAAGTTTTGCACAGTTCAGCTTCATACGATTTTGGAAGATCTTGTTCTTAGAAGAAGGCCAGGAAATGGGAGGTTACTTTTGAAAGAAAGGACTTAAATCACTTTTCCCTGTGATATGCTCTACCTGTCAAATGGGTATAACGCTAGTTGATCTCAGAGAAGTGCTGTGAAAACCAATGAATTTATACATATAAAGCGCTTTGAGATAGGGAAGTATAAAACTTTACTATTCTTAGCAATTTGCTAAGTTGTTCCCTGGACACCTCAAACCAGTTTTTCAAATGGATGTTACGGGGCAACAAAACAGAGCAAGGACCGGAGCTTTACCTGGTACAGCTCTATGCGTTGTTCTGACACCCGCGCCTTCGAGTTCTGCAGTCGGAAGACTCGGAACTCTGCCTTCACCAAGTTGGAAGCATTTTTCTCCATCGTTGAGACATCAAATCTTACAATTCTGAAGTAAAGGCTGTAATAGCTCGGTGGGATGGCATCTGCAAGAAGTCAGCATATTTTTTTTTAATAATAAATATATTTTTCTTTCAAACACTGTAATACAAGACAGCCTCGGGAATCGGTGAGGGAAATATCTGTAGCATGATTCAGTTTCCAATGGCCAATTTAATATTATTAACAATTTAACCCCCTCAAAAAAATAACTCATATGTGTTTGATTATAGGAAGAGTATATTAATAAAAATGAACAGTCATTTCCAACTGAATTTCAGGGTGCACATTTAACCCTGCTCTTTCAATGTACTGGTGGAAAATCCTGCAGACTAATAAATTGGGAAAGATTCTTAACAGTTGGTATCTGTGAAATGCTTCAGACTTGCATACAGTTCATCGGGTCTGCTAAGAAGACAAATGTAACTGCAGATCATTTGCTCTGTATGTTCTCTGAATCCCATTCCCTCCTTCTCCCCATCCCAAATTTGGAGTATAAATAAAGTATAAATTAGCCAGCTTCAGATTTCATTTTCTATTTAGTAACAAAATAATTTTAGCAGAATAAAAAATTTATTCTGATTCTAATAACTAGGACAGGGAGAAAACAGAATTACATTCATCTGGATTGTTGGGAGCGGTAAAAGTCAGAAAGGTAACAATCCCTATTTATACATGGGGGCAGGGTGGAAAAAAACAGTTGGCAAAAAACAAAACCAAGTCTTCAATAATGCCTTTAAAAACAGGCTTCGGTTTAGGTTTCAAAACAGTCTCTTCTTTCTTTCCAGCTGCACATGCTGACTGAGGTCAAGCAGCCGAGCACTTGTGTGTAATCCCAACTACCCGCCTGGGTTCAGTGACTATGTCGGGCTGTTCCACCTCATCCTGGCCAAAAGCACACATAGAAAACCGTGCGTGAGCCCGCTGACCATGCTCCCACCCCGGGACACTCTCCACACCCTGTTGTTTGGCAAGAGGTTCCTTGAGCTGTGAGAGGGCATCAAAATTGGGATGAACCGTAGGGACTCAAAGGGCCTGGTAACATCTCTGCCATGCTGATGGATGGGAAGTCTTCCTCTTTCTTTGCATTTTTAAAAGCAAAATGTTTATAGGAATGAGAGAAGGAGGAAAGTTTGATATATTGCTCTGAGCAAGACAGCAGTTCCAGGCAATATGAAGAAGCACTGCTCTTGGTAACACATTTAATAGGGAGGTTGCCACAGCTCTTCAGATGGTAAGTCTTTCTGGGCTTAGCCTGGCTGCAGAGTAAGTACCAACAAGTCAGTCAAGAGAAGAATAAAGTAAAATATTTATTCTGTCTTTATAATATTCAAGAAAGACAGAAAATGATCAGAGGTGAACACTCCTAAAGCAATCCTAGATATGGACAAGCTTAGAGTTCAACTCTAGATGCAATGTGAGACAAGACAAGTCATCAAAATTCTTAAAAAGATTGCTGAAAGTGTACTTCCCAAAGGAGATCCTCAGTACGGTCAAAAGTGTGTGAGGTATAAATACAGGAAATCCCACGCTTCTTTACGGTCCCCTTTAAATAATAATAATAAAGAAATGTTCTCAAATTTCCACACATGCAATGATCTGAAGTAAACTGCATCATGATCAGTATTCTTACCTAAGAGGCTTATTGACATTTTTTTTGTTACAATCTTATAATGAGAATACAAAGAAGAACATACGAGAATTGTTCTACTAAAGCTCAAGAGTATTAGTCTTTCTCTCAAAATACTCAATGAAGGTCTTCTAAGAAAAGCTTAACCTTTAATGGTCATCTTAATTTTGACAGATTTTGAAAATTTTAATAAAAGCTATATTGTTCAGATATCATATCCTTATTTAAAAAAAAAAAAAGTCTCTTAAATTTACTTTTCTGTTGTAGGAAGCTATACATACCACTTGTTCTTCAGCCAAACCTAATCCTACTAAGAATATAATTTGACATAATAATATGTGTATATATATATGATTTATGTTTCCAGGATGAATTTTAAGTTGTCCTTCCCTGTCATTTATTTGAGACATCAGCCTGTAGTTGTAGGCTGACGAACACTTGCCCTGGCACACACAAACCCTGTTCATCTTTACTGTATTTCATATTCATAAAATTGTATTTGATCCCGTTTGATTTTAATTAAAGTTTCTGAGTTATTTCCACAGATTTCTTCTTCTCTCTTTGCAGAGCTGTATTTTTTTTTCAGCTTTATTTTCTCTATCTTAGATGAGATTGAATCAGATTTATATATACATTCATAGATTCCTGTGTGTTAGGAATCTGCACATGTGTATCTGAAAGGATTTTCCTACATCACCTCTGCATTTTGTATCTTTTCTCTATTTATTGTACAAAGAAGATAGAAGACAAATGAATACTGTTATAATATGTATGTTTTTGTATTCATGCATGTTCATTCATGTATACTGTGAACAAAAGACTACTTTATGGGACGAAAGGTATGGGACACCAATAAACTGACAGGAATAAATTCTTATCTTACAAAAGTTTCTTCTCCTACAAGGTAAGTTTTACTTCTCATGAAAACACATAAGAAATCTGATTTACTTGTTCTGTCATTCACAACAGTATTCACAGAAAGACAATTCAGCAAGAGGTCTTATTCATGGATAACTAATAAATAAATAAATAAATAAATTTGCCTCTTTACTGACTGGAGTCCCTCATTTGTAGAAAAAATGACTGACTGCAGAATTGGGATTTACATTAAACTTAATCAACATTAAGATGGAGACCTTTATCGAGTTTACAAGGTTTTGTATTAGCCTTTAAGTGATTTCAGATGATGTAATTTATATATTTTTGTGACTCCACCTCAACCTGACAGTTGTATCAATTCAGACTCAGTTGGACACGTCTGGGCTCCCCTCTGATTTTGGCCCAGTGATTTCAGTAGGTGCCAGGTTAACTTTGACCAGTCTAGCCTGCAAACATAGTTACGCTGTTACAGAGTAGACTCCTTAAGTATTCTTTGAAAGATTATCACTAATAAGTGGAATTAAATCAATATGTTTCCTGTAGCTAAGAAAACACAATTTTCTTTTGTTTTGGAGAGAGGGAATAGCAAATGCAATCAAAGATTTCATCTTTATTGTCTTTAAATTATTCATTAATTCAACCTCAAATCTCTGAAGACTTCCAGCTGTAATAATCATAGTCACAACCACCACAGTAAAACTGAGGCAACAGTTACAAAACACAGTTGGAGAAGGTGAAAGCAGCATCCCTCCACGTCCCTTCAGCTCAACAGCTCACCACTTTCACCACTCATTCAAGATACGAGCACCCTGCGATCAGCCTTTTGCTTCTTTTCCTACTCAAATAAGTTCTATTCCCAAGGCCCAGGTTCAAAGGTGGTATGTGAATGTCCTTTGCTGATGGCTAAGGACAGCGCGGTTGCTGAGGCTCTGACTCACTCTGCTCGGTGCGGTGGAGAGGTTGAAACCCAGGCACCCTCTGTGCTAACACTGAGGACAGAAAACAGTTGTGTTCCTGTGGAGCAGGAGGGATGCAGGGAGCCTCTCCAAGGTATGGAGCAGTGCAGTCAGCAGCCTGATACCTGCCCCTAGTATTGCTCCAATTAATACTTCTGCGGGACGGAACAGTGTCAACAGGAAAGACTGACCACATCCTGTGACCTGCGGCCCAAAATAGCATGCAGACACCTGGGCATCGCTCCTGGCAGGAGAGAGCGATGGAGCCAAGTTCCCTGAAACTGAGAGGGGGAACCAAAAGAGTTCGTTTCATCTGAGGAATATTCCCCAAGTCAGGGATTTCCTCCAAGAAAGGATGACACTTTTGCCTTCAACAGTCGTGTCTGATGAGCTAAGCCCTTCATTCCAACTGCTTTTCTCACAAGTACCGAGTGTACCGACATTTCAAGAGAAACAAAACATTGTTTGACACAGTGCTTTTAGGATTTGGGCTTTGTTTCTGGTAAGAAGAAAAAAAAAAAAAGAAAAGATATGAATTTGACTGTATCCAAACTAGGGCCTTCCACCCTGAATTTTCACTTCTGCTATTGATCCCCCCCAAAATTAATGATATGCACAGCACTAGTTAGGAAATGTAAACAACTTTTCTGTTCTTGCTGGAAGAAGCAAGACAGGCCGACTTCACACATACACCCACACTGGAAAGGCTGAGAGCTCCATCCTAATCCTTCCATCAAGGACTCGTAATAAATGCTCCAGAGATTTATTTTTATTTCCTTTTGTGTTTATTAAACTTTGGAGGGTTTCTTTTCCTTTTTCTTTTCTCCCTGGTGTTTTGCCCATTCTTTATTACAGCATCTACCAAACACAGTGACCTTTTTTTTTTACCCTCTCCCTCTTTTTTCTCCTCATCTTCTTTCTGACTGCAGTACATGAATGACCATGTAGTAGGCTTTGAAGCAGCACATGCAAATATTTATAAGAGTAGCTTGATTGTTATTAAATGCAGTTGTTACGCTTTCTATGCTCTGGCAAGCTTCCCTAAACCCTGCAACTATTAGGACCATTTAGGCTGTTTAGATTTCAACTCACTGATAGCAAATCCTACTTTTTTTTTTTTTTTTTAAACAAGCAGCAGCCCTTTACAAAACCTGATGTTGTTTCTTCCCCTGCTCTCTGATCAACATATGGGATCTTGTCATGAGTCAGGCCTGACATCCCTTTAATGACATCAAAATGTGGTAAGCAAAGCCGCATGCTCAACATCATGGAAGGAAGGACAACTTGTAAGCTGAAAATAATCTCATCTTGTCAGCAGGATCCTGTCCTGTCTGGCACACTTGGGTCACAAATCCTTCTCTTTTTCACGAAAAGTCTCTCCAAGAAATTAGAAACTTGCCTAACCCGTGTGAATTTCCGGAGCTCATGGACAACAACTGCTGGAAATAGGCTCTCTGGAATGACAGTGGATATATAAATAGAGTGAACCACATTATGGGGGCCTACAGGCCACAGTGGGGAACTCCAATCAGCCCTCAGAGGTAAATCAGTTGTACATCAGCTTTTCATTATTTCTGAAACT